CTGTAGGTGAGAACACACCTACAAAGGCTGATTGAGAAGGGAGTCTTGAAGTAAAAGCTGCCTTGGAATGGGGCTCAAAACCTTGAGCCAAGAGCTCTTCTCCAGTGAAACAGCCCTGGCTTGACAAGAAAAATATTGCTATCAGAGAGTGCTGGAAGAACATTGAGTTTCAGCCCCAGAGCTGCGTAACAGCTTCGAGTGCCTCTGCCTTTCCCCCAGCCAGGGAGAGCCAGCAGTGCCTGAAAAATCAACTCAGGCACTGCACATCCACCTCCTGCCACAGGACCTGAGCACCTCAGAGCACCTCTGAACATCTCACATCAGTCCTGACTGCAGGGCAGGGCTGGAACCTGCACCTGGCAGGGTGAGAACCACAGCACCGGGCAGGTGAAGGACCTGCCTGAGGTGGAGGGTGGAATCTTGAAGAAAAGCAACCTGAAATCTTCTGAATTCTATGTAGTTACTAAAGGTCAGCACAGCCAAGACAGCCCTTTTCCCAGGAGTTACTGGAGTGTTCTGGGTGGGAAGGGACCACACTGCACGTGAGCCATTTACCTTGTGCCACATGTGCTGAACGGGAGCCTTTACCTGCAGAGACAACTCACAACCCCTGTGACACTCAGGATCTGCTTCCCTGTCAGGGTAGCAAGCAGGCAACACCTGGAGGGATCAGGAGTGAGAGCAGGGTTTCCTGGAAAGCCCTTAGTTCACTTTTCCCCACATGCTGGGAATGCTCTGTGCCCACTCACCCAAAAACCCAGTGCCTGTGCATCCAACCCCACCAAGCCACGGGCTGCAGGATGCTCTAAAAACTCTTCAAGCCAAAGATCTGCTGAGAAAGCAGCTCAGCAGCGAGGCCAAGACAAAGCCCAGTTTTCAGGGCAGTGAGAGTCAGGTGGGGGGAGCTCTCGTGCTGAGCCATTCAGGGCTCACAGATGGAGCAGAGGGAGCCACGTGAACCAACAGTGCTCCTGAGAAAGCTTCTGTGCCCCTGGATCCACCAGGGCAGGGCACAAGCTCTGGCCAGAATTCCCAGTGTCACTGATGAAAATATTCCCCACACTCAGCTCTGAGGGAGCTGCTCTGACCCAAGAGCTGCTGCAGCCTCGGAGCTGTGCTGAGTTTGAGAGCTCTCAGGTTCTGGAGTGAGGATATTTGGTTTGGACTCCAGGCAAGGACTGTCATCCTGACTATATTTGGACAGAAAAAACATTCCTGGCTTTGGTTTCTGCACAGTGTCTGCAGGCAGTGGAACACATTACACTGAGGGAATCCATATGGAGGGATGGGGAAGGGGAAGGGAGGCAGGCACAGAACTGACTTTGCTTTGTCTTCCCGCTCTTGGCAGTGCCCAGGACCTGGATATCTTCTGGAGGGAGCTGGGATTGTCTAAGCCAACGGCCAGGGATGCATCTCCCGAGATCCCTGCCTGTCCCTGGAGCAGCAGGCTCTGAACAGCTGTCAGGAGGGAAGGGAATGCTGTGGAATGTTGCATAAAACCCACAATGGCCAAGCAGAGACCATGGAAAGCACAAAGCCCTGGATCATCTGCACAGCACGACACGCTTTCCTTGTTCACTCACCTCAGCCTGGCTTTGCTCTTTTCCCTTCCTTGCTGAAATGTTTGGTTTAAAGGGGGGCTGCTGTGTGATGCACAACATATGGCTCCATCCCCCAGGGCAAGCTTTAGCTCAAATATAAACACTTTTTTCGCTTCTACAGATCACTCTTAGTATTTCTCTCCTTTCCTTTTTATCCAGCATTGTTAACATTAAATGTTGTTTCCAGCATCTCTGCCCCATTTCACAGCAAAGCCAGCCCTGGTGCCCAGGCCAGAGAGAGGACACTGGCACTGCTTCCCCAAACCAGCCCAAGAACAATCCATTTCAACAAATATTACAACAATCCACAACAACAGACTTGTGGTGAGAGATGCCACGCAGAGAACAACCATCAGAGCTAGAACTGCAGCTGTCTGACTGTCCCAGAGGAATCTCACCTCTCACAAAACCTCTTGTTTATTCAAGGGATAAGAGCCTATTATTCAGCATTAGAACAAACCACTCCCACCACCTTCCCCTGTTGGGAACTGAGAGTTCTACAGGGAAGCGGGAAAGAAGAACAAGCTGATTTCTGATCGTGTCTGATGGCTCAAGGCACGAGGATCAACATCTCATCTCCAGGGCACTGGTCCAAATCCAGCCCCAGGCCAGGAAGGGGGGAAAGCACAGGGGTGAATGTGATTTACCACGGATCAGCTCCTTGGTGGCCCATGTGAAAAGAATTAGGACACCCTCATATAGCTCTTACTTTTAAAAGCACTCCCAGATTTAGCCCTGCAGCTCACAACTTGGGGGGGAAACAACCCAACAGCCCAACATTCCTGCAGGGTTCCTGTGGGAATGGCAGCTCCAATTTGTGCCTTCTCAGTGGGTCAGGCACTAAAAAAAAAGGATTGCATGTGCTTGCAACAGGGAGGGGGGGGATAATAACGATGCTCTTCGGTCCCCAAAACGTTCTCCCACTTTCTATCGTGCAGCCCCTCGTGATCGGCATCTGCTGATGTTCCTAGAAAAGTCCACGGTCTGATGAATCACAAATGAGCTGAAAACAAGGGCTTGCTCCAGCTGGCAAAGAAAATGGAATGTTTTGCTTGACTGTCAGTTTGAGCTGCAGCTCACAGAGGTGCCTGCCCTGGCCTGACCTTGTGTGACCAGCCAAGCCTTGACCCCAGGCAGGAGCTCGGCGGTCCAGACATGGCCACACAGAATCTCAGGAATGAAGAGAGGGAGAAACCCAGAAATGAGGGAGAAATTCAGAGATGAGGGAGAAATTTTTCTCAGATCCCAAAGTGCAGGTTGTTAACGCAGCCCCAACCACAAAACCACCCAAGGTGGTTTTGTGGTTGGGGCTGCGTTAACAACCTGCAATCCACTTGTGGATGGAGCAACCCTCCTGAAATCCTGGACTAGTGGGAACAGACTCAAAGGAGAGATGGGCTCTTTACCTGACTCTGCCTTTCAACAATCTCCCTCAGCCTCCCACTGTCTGTAAAACATGGATTTTTGGCCCTGCTTCCAGAGGCAGAGCTTTAGAAACCCCTGCACCAAGCACAGGACCAGCTGACACCTCACAGTGAAAGCTGAACACCTGAAAAACTCAGCTTTTCTTTATCCACACCAGTTAAATAATTACAATATCTGCCTTTAAAGGAGCATTTGCTCCTGCTCTGGAGCCTCCTTGCCCCCCTTCAGCAGCAGGAACAGCTCCCAAAACCAGCCAGAAAACCAACCAGGAGCAAAGTGAGAGAGAGGAGGAACATCTTCCCCCACCTTCCCTGTCTCATTCTCCAGCTAAATTTGATTCAGGCTCATCGAGGAAGATGAAAGAGCAGAATTTTCTCCCCCTCCCACAGAGCTGGGGGGGTGGGCAAAGTTTGCCAAAAACATACGTGGCACAAAGGGGGCTCCTCCTGGGACCTCTCTTGTTCCTGGGGCTCCACTGCCCATGCTGGTTCTTCCCTGGTGGCTGCAGAAATTCCCTTCTTCTCACTGGCAAAATGAAAGGGTTAAACCCGGTGCTGAACAGCTCCAGTCCTGCTCCTCGGCAGGAAAATTCGGGGAGATAAAAGAGAACACGTAAAAATAACAGCAAATAAAAGAATATACTCCCAAAACAAACACTAAAACTCCATTTACCACCCATTTCTCCAGCTCTTCAGCAGGTTTTTTTTTTTTTTTTTTTGCTGTGCAAAACTGTGACAACCTCAAGGGAAGGTTCTGGTGAATAAAACCTACAGGAGTCCACAGTTTGTGAAACAACTCTCTCACCACACCACGGGGTCGTAAAGCAATAAATATTCCTGTAACCACCATCCCTTTCCAGGGAGCAAAAAACTCCAGCAAAGGCTTTGCCACCTCTTTGCAAAGGAACAAAGGGAGCAGAGGAACACAGGATTGCTTGTTTGTTTGTTTGTTTTTTTGCTTGGTTTAAATATTGCTCCAAATATGTCACAGACAGTGTGTTTGGGCATAATTTGTGTCACACCCCCACAAACACACAGAACACACACGTGTGGCACACGAGCCACACTTCCACCAACACTTAGGTTTACAGGATGACTCAGTGGATAATATTTCTTCACTCAGCTGGAAAACACAATACAGCTGGATCCACATTGCAGCTACTCTTTTGTACATTCATTTTAATGCTCAGGAAAATATATATTTTTTTATTTTATTAAGTTTTGCTGCAAAACAAAGAAACCAAAAATGAAACCCCCTTTTTGTCTTTTTTTTTTTTTTTTTTCTCTTCCCCTCTCTCATCTCTTAATTATTAACTATTTATTTTCTTTACACTTTGATTGGAGTATTTAACACCTGCCTTTGGCATTATGGATAGAAAGCTCAGGAGTCTCTGAACACACAGTTGTGCCAAAAAAAAAAAAAAAAATAAAATATGGAAGAAGAGTGTCACTTAGAGGTTAGAAATATCTGTTGTAACAACGTATTTTCTTCAATCAGTGTTCACTACTTTATCTCTAAGGCACATGCTCTGTCTTTAGGACCTCATTACATCCAGTTTGCCCTTGTTCTGGTGGAGTCCCCAGGCTGTGGTTGAGAGAGGACACTCTCAGGACATCCCTCCCTGCCCCTGGCAGGTGGCTGGGAGAGCTGGGATCTCCTCAGGGAGATCGTGCCGTGGGAGAAGGTGCGAGGAACGTCCTGCTCCTGCTCCAGCCTCCCCTTCCCAGGGCAGCCCCAGGAAATAAATCCACCCCGCGGGGGGCAGTCCTGGAGCTGGGTGCCAGTGGGAGCATCTCCGTTATCCACGGGGAATTCTGTCCGTCCCTGCTCCGAAAGGCTCCTCTGCCTCCAGCAGACAGCTCAGGATCGTTTCTGCAGGTGCCTGGGATGGAGAGGCAGCACAGGGAGGGGGTGCCAGCCCTCCGTGGCCTCGGGACCCTCAGCCCAGCGACACCAGCCATGTGCTGCCCTCTCCTCCAGGAGGGGCTTTGCCAGGGAGCCAAACCCCCGGGAACGCCGGCCAGGGAGGGAGGAGAGGGGGCAGGTGGGGGTGGGATCGTCCCTAGACGAAGATCTGGATCCTCTCGCGGATGGCCTGGCGGCAGATGGGGCACACGGTGAGCGCCGCGCTGCAGTCGGGGCAGGAGCCGTGGCCGCACTGGAACACCAGCTTGATCTGGTCGTCGATGCAGATGGGGCAGGTGATCCTCTCCTCCATCTGCCGGTAGCGGCTCTGCAGCTCCTCCATCAGCTTCCTCTGGTCGGTGGATTCCGAGCTGGGGCTGCACTCCACCTCCGTGCTGTCTGCAGGGCACCAGGCGGGGTTAGTCAGGGCGTCCCTCCCTCGTCACACCCTGCCCCTGGCCCAGCCCAGCTCAGCTCAGCTCAGGTTGAACTCTCCTCAGCCAGGGATTCCTCAAATCAAAGCCTGGGGGATGCTTTTCAGACTGGCCAGTGTTGCTTTCCTCCCTCCGGCTGCTTTCTGTGTGTGTGGCTTTGAGATGGTTTGGTGGGTTGTTTTTTGTTTGGTTTTTTTTTTTTTTTTTTAAAGGAAACGAAATGCTGGCTGAGATGTCCTGCCTTGGTGCTCTGGAATGTGAAAACACTCAGAGCTGGGGGTGATGTTCTGCCACACCAGCCCTTATAGAACATTGCAAGGAATCTCCCTGTTCACATCTGGGACTCAAAATTTCTGGTCAAGCCCTTCAGGGCACACTTGGACAAACAAGAAGATAGTCACCTGACACCTGAGAGGATGTTCCTTTTTCCCTCTGAAGGTGGGCAGTGCAACAGGCACACACACACACAAGCCAAAACAAGTTCACTCTCTGTTATTCCACTGAAAATCACTGACGCTCCCCTGTACAGGACCCCTCCCACAGCACTCCCAGCAGGAACAGCAAACATACCTTGTTTCAGTTTTTTGGTTATTGTCACTTGACATTTGATGCACTTCTTCATTCTCCTGGAGCATTCTAGCACAAAGGACACAGGAAGAGATGGCAGTTAAGCCCACTGATGTCAGAACAGAGAGGAAACAGACCCAAGAACATCAGCTCTGAACCACCTGAGGCCCCCCTGGGTGATGAGGAGATTGTTTCCACACGGAATGAGGTCACAACCTGCTTTTTGTGTCTTAGTCTCCTGCTTTAACCTTTCCTAGGTCAGTAAAAAACACAACACCTCTGAGTCCTCGATGCTCTGTGCCACTGGAACTGCTGCACTGTGGACCCAAACAGCTCTGGGGGAAAAGGAGGCAGCTCTGGCACACAAAAATTCCCAATTCCCTGCGGTCAGACCGTGAGGGCCTCGTGAGATAACAAACCTGCTGACATCTCTGAGCAGGCTGCCTTTGACACAACTGAAATGCAAACAGCAGTGAGAGCCAGAGGAGAGGGAAATCCTTCTCAGGAGGCTTTTGATGGATAAAGCCCTGACAGCCAGAACTGAGGCACCTGCCTCTCCTTCTGGGTTCTGCAGGCATCTACAAGCACCAGCAAAGCTGCCTTGGGTCCCAACCAGCAGGTGGGCAGAACGTTCTGTGCTTCTCACAGATAACTTTGCATGTCTTGCCCAAGCTGCTGAAATCCTGCTGGGGTTGTTTCAGGACACAAACAGCACAAGGGCTCTGTGTCTGAGCAGAGCCTGATTTCTGGAGGCCCAGCTGAGGAGGCTGGGTGGGTGGAACGGGAAAGAAAAACACGGGAAGATGGAAAGAAGCAGGGTGGGTGGACTCACCTTCACACACAATGCTGTGCTGGCAAGGGAAGAAGTGGATGAGCAAGGCCAGCTCTGAGCACACCAGGCACTCTGTGGGCACTGCCACGCTGGCCACGCTGAGGTTGGTCATGGTGTTGGGCGTGGTGTGCACTCGGCGAAGGCTGCAGGTGATGGTGGAGCTGTCTGAAGAAACTTGCTGTTCCCTGCAGGCAGGAGCACCACAAAACGTGAGCCACACACTCCACATCCTCCTTCAGCAGCTCTGCCCTGACCCCTGGCAAACGCTCCACGATGCTCAGAGCTATAAACCTGCCCCACTCAGCTGGGGTTCTGACTAGTTCAGGGATGACTAATATTTACACAGGCTGAAAATGCCCTTCTGGAGGGCAGCAATGAGGTACTGGCAGTAAAATCACCTGCTGAAACCAGCACTCTGTTCTGAGAAATGTCAGTCTGAAAGAAACGACATCCTTTAAGCAAAAAAAAAAAAAAAAAAAAACCACACCTCAATCCAACATATGCTCCACTGACAAAATTCCTGTGCAAGATGTTTAAAGGGACACATTTCACCTGGTTTTCACAGTGCCATGGCCAATTACAGCACTGCTGTGTGGTTCCTCCTCCAGCAGTAACAGGAGTGCCCTCAGACCAAACTCTGCTTTCATGTTTGCAAAGCCAAAACGCAAACAGATGTTTCTCAGAACCTGAGATAAAGCCATCTTTGACTGGTTATAACTCTCCCTTTGGCATTTTCTCAGCTACTTCTCTTGTCAGCTGGAAAACAAGCCCTTATCCAGCTCTGGAATAAATTCTGTGGGTTCTGGTGCCCACTCATTTGCTGCACTTCCCCTCTGCTTGGACTTCAAATATCTGCAACTGCAGAACCCAATGGAAGTAAAACAGAACCCAGAATGACTCTGCAAAGTTGCTCTTGGCTTCAGTGGCCAGACTCCTCAGGGCTCTCTGTAAATCAAGAGGCTGAGTTTGCACTGAGCAACGTTAATCTGCTTTTCCCAACACTCGCCAGTGGCAGCATCCACCCTCACATAACCCCTCCAGGCACACAGGGGAAGGAACCAGCTCCAGAAGATACAGGAGGTGCTCAGACCGACATCCCAAGTGTTCCAGAGACGCTCCATCCCTCCTAGAAGAGCTGGAGGTGCTGTGGGAGCACTCTGGGCTTTGCCAGGGAGTTCCCAGTGAGTGGTTTGAGCACAGGGTTTACCTGAATTTCTGTGAGAAGTCTTTGACGATCTGGATGATCCTCCCATCTGTAATGAGGTCTAGGGGAGATTTTCCCCTGTGGTTTGCATAATTGATATCTGCTCCTTCCTGTGCTAAGTAGCAGGCAATGGCAGTCCCCACATTCAGCTCCACATTTCCAAGAAAGCCAGAAGCCTGCAGCTAAAAGATGTTGGGAAACACACTCTTGTTAACTCAAGAAGTTCCTGTGATGTGGATGTGATCTGTATCAAATTCTACACCAAGTCCTAAACCCCGTACTTACAATTTGAAACTGCAACTTAGCATTAATCTTTGAAAACACAAGAAGATCCTTCAGCATGAAAACAGCAGATTCAAATTCACACTCCAGGGACAAGAGTGGTGCTAACTGGTGACAATCAACAAAAATCATAGCAATGGGCATTCACCTCTTCAGGCAGTGAAAAGGAAGAAGCTGGAGACAGCACAGCACACACCAGCTGATGAACAGCTGGCCCATGGAGCGACAGCCATTTAAAAGGCAAAATTTTTATGTACGTGACCCAAATTAAAGTCAACAAACATTTCCCACTGACTTAAAAGACCAGAGCATGTAGGTCAGGGCAAATAAAACTGGATCCTAGAGCATCTAGATATGATGTTACTATAAATAACATTGGGAATGACACACACAGATCCCTCCTTTAAGGCTTCCTGCAGCCAGGACTGGCTGCCTTTTGGCCACACACTTGAGCCATCAACTCTTGCTACCACAAGAATGGCAGTTTGGCAATGAGCAGAATGGATGACAAATGCACTGGGTTTTGCTTATTCTGATCATTTCAAAATAAATTAAAAAAATAAATATATCCACGCTGGATTTTCCAGATATTAAGATACCCTTACACCCTTGGCATATCCTGCACCGATTTCTAGAACCAAGGTCTTTATATCCACGACCAGAGAACAGCACAGGGAAATCCAGTTCAGGCTTTGGAACAGCTTTGTCTTTATCCTTCAGCCTGATCCACCTCACCTCTCTCTGCTGTCCCCCCGCAGATAACTGGGGTGGCTGTGGTTAGCTGGCCTCATATTTTCCATGCCATCAGACAGAAATGAATTGCTGTGGTCCTGGGGCATGAATTAAACCCAGGACTCTTGGCTCTGCAAGTGGATTCATGACCTTTCCCACGTCAGGAAAGGAGCACAATGCTAATAAAAATCTCGGGGGAGACGGGATGAATTGTTGTCTGACTATGTCAAGTTCCACACTATAAATCCAAGCATCCCCTCAGACGATCTATTTGCTTTCCCACAAGCTGAAGGTTTGTTCCTATTTGTTCCTGCTCTCCCCATCTGGACTGGCTTGACACAATTTCCCTTCCTTCGCCCCCCTAGATCCCACTGACACTCCAACTGTGTTCTCCCGCCCTCGGGGCCGGAATTTCTCCTGCTCCCAAGCCCACCTTGGAAAGCAGGGATGGCCCCATGTCCCCCTCTGTCTTCTCCATGGCGAGGGCCATGAGCTGCTGGCGCTCCAGGGCGATGTGCATGGCCGTGTCCCCGTCCTCGTCCTCGGCGTTGACGTCGCTGCCCTGGCCCACCAGCAGCTGCACCATCCCCACGTGGCCCTGGATCACTGCCAGGTGCAGGGGGGTCTGGTTACGGTTGTTTTTGAGGTTCACGTCGCAGCGGCCCTGGAAGGGAGGGATTGCACCGGGCTGAGCTGCTGCTGCTGCCTCTGCCCTGGGGGTGCCTGCCGAGCTCCCAAACCTCGAGTCCCTCTTCACCGAACATTTTCCAGCGGGCTCCAGCTCCAACCCGCTTTGCTCTGGCCAAGATACCCTCCTCCTCTCTGCCAGTGCCTAAGGAAAAACCCCCTCCCCACCCTGGGAATGCCAACCCTTCTTCTTCAGTCTGGCAAACGCTGCCACCTCTCCAAAGAGACACTGACGTTTCTGTGAGTCCCAGGGGTAACCCACGCCGGGAAACGTGGGGGTTTGGGAGTGGGGGCAGGTGGGAGTGGGACAGATGGGAGCTTTTTGTCCGTGGCGGGTTTGTTTTGATTTTTTTTCCCTTACCTCTTTGATGAGAATTTCTGCCACTTCCATGTGATTATTGAGAGCGGCAAGGTGCAGGGCAGTGAAACCATCTTCCTTCTTGGAGTCGACCAGCTGCCGAGCTCTTGCCAGGATCTTCTTTATGGCTCTGGAGCGTTGCAGGTTAACAGAGATGGAAGAGTTACTTCATCAGGCAAAAAGGAGTTATAAATGTTCACATTTTAACAGGCAGCACTGTGAGGTGACGCTGCTGATGCAGAGCAGTCCCTCCAACTCCACAGACTGAATTACAAGAATACAACAAAAAGCCCTCAGTTATCATTTAATAAAGGGTAAAGTCACACTGCTTTGGAAATAATGAGCAGATTTATCCTTGGAAGAGTTCCAGAGGCTCTCAGTTAGACACAGTCTTTACTACAGACCTTCTCCTGTCCTTTCCAAGTGTGAACCCAAACACTTAAGGAAACTAAGCAGACAGATTTCCAAGCCAAGCTAGGGAGGTATGAGAGAGATGGGACGGGGAAAGCAGCAGGAGTTTCCTGTGAAGGCATGAAGGAGGGCAACAGCTCTACCCAGCCATATCTGTTTCCTTCCCATCCACCCAGAACTACATCTGCCACCTTCTCACTGCTGAGACAAGCATGAGTTAAGATCTGCAAAAGCCATAAAAATGGGAAAAAAAAAAAGGTCACTCACAGCTTGTTGCCTTTCAGAGCAGAATAGTGGAGCAGGTTGAAGCCTTGGCCGTTCTGGACAGTGAAGTCTATGTTGGGTACTTCAGTGAGAATCTCAATAACGACTTTGTAATCAAGAGTGATGGCATAATGCAGGGGGGTGTCTCCCTGGGAATCCTGCACATGGACAGCCAAGCAGAACACAGGTTACCTCCTTCAGGAAGCCAAGGGAAACCCCCTACGAGCTGCTGACACTCCCAGCTAGCTCTGAGACACTGACCCAGCACAGTCCAGCCCCACCACCACACATGCACAGCCCAAAAATGGGCTGGGTCCAAGTCACCATCACTGCCCGTCTTCAAAGTATCACCACTCTGCAACAGGAGCTGTTGCAACAACAACACCCATTAACAGCAGGTCAGCTGAGCCTGAGTCCAGCACAGAGACTGTTACTGCACTGAGCTGGGCAGACCCAAACCTGGCATTTCAGAGCACTGAAGTCTGAAGGAACGCTTCCTGAGCAAGGCCCAGCGCTGTATTTCAGGAGAACCACTTTCAAACTCGACAGAGTTTAACACACAAAGAAGCACCTCCCCACCTCAAAGAAAAAAAACCACCCCACACACCAAAAAAACCCCTCAAACCCATATCCCCCTCTTCAAAAACTCACTGGGAGGTTGACATCACAGTTGAGCTCACAGAGGGCCCTCACCACCTCGGTGAATCCCTGGCTCACAGCCACGTACAGCGCCGTGCACTTGGCGTTGTTCAGCAGGTCTGTGCTGGCCCCTTTGCCAATGAGCACACGGGCCACCTCAGCTTGGTTCCTGGTTTAAAGGCAAGGAGCAAAACAGATTAGAGTCGATCCTGTGACAGTAAATTCTTCCTCCCTGAAAGGCAACAGAGCTTCTCGGGTTCTGCATCCTCGTGACTTCATCCCACTTCTTATTAGTATTAAAAAAACCAAAACCTTCTTAATTTGTACACTAGAATCTGCTCCCTCTGTCCTAAACCAACAGGAATTTTCCACTTCTATCGATGAATTCTTCCCTGGCAGCAGACAAAACAACTAAAAATTCCATCTTGCTCTGGAAAAAACGTTGCACTTACAGAAACCAACCAACCACATCGATCTCAAATCAACCAAACCACCTGCCCCCAACCCAAAATCTAATCGCCAAAACCTCTTGTTCCGATTCCCCCCCCAAAATTCCCAGCATGGAAACCTGGCTGTGGAGGACAAAGGAGTGTGCTAAGAAATGCTCCTGGGTGCTGAAGCTCAAAGGCCAATTTCTAACAGAGGGTGAAATCAGAGAAAAGCCTCCACCAGCCACACGTCCTTCCCACAGACCGTTCATTTCTATCCAGAACATAAATTCTGCAGAGCCTTCAGGTCTTGCACCAGAGATGGGAAGCAGTGGGGTGCCCTACCCGAAAGCCGCGTAGTGCAGCGCCGTGTCCCCCTCGTCGTCCCTCAGGTTGACGCTGGCATGTGCCTGCAGCAAAGCCTTCACCACCTCCAGGTGCCCCTGGTAGGAGGCAATCTGCAGGGCAGTTCTGCCCTGGTTCTTGGCATCGACCTGTGGGAAGGGCAGAGGCAGAGCAGATGAGGAACGACCTTGTGCCGGGGTGGGAGCAGCGGCTGCGGAACAGCTGCAGGCTCCGAGTGCCAGGCGGGATCTGTGCCCCGCTGGCTCCGCTCCACGGGCACCAACTCCACCCTGACCTTGTCCTGAACATTTCTGAAGGGGAAGGGGATGGCACATCAAGGCAAGAGGGGGCCAAGTGAGAGAACAGAGCCGGGAGCCAGGGCTCTTAATTGCAGCTCTCTCGCCAAATCGCTCTGTGCCTGCGAGCGCAACGCTCCTCGACACCTCTGCCAACAATTCCTTTCCCAACAGGAAAATGTGTGAGGAAATCAAATTAGCTTTGCATAAGGCTCTGAAGATGCCAAGCCCCCCATTGTTCTGTGCTGCTGCAGGTACTTCACTGGGCGCAGTGGCTGGAGGGGATGTCACACAGCTCGAGTGCTGCAGTGAGAGTTGTTGAGAATTAAAGAGGCTGAAGGGCAAGGAGAGGTTGTGTGAAAGGTAAGGAAATAAAAGGGAGAAGCAGCTATTGAAACCAGTGGGAGGCTGAGGAGAGGAGATGAAGGAGCTACAAAACCTCAGCAGACTGGCAGGGAGAACAAGTTAATGAACAAGTTTTTTTTAATCCCCTGCAGCTGGTTCCACGCAGCAGGACAGGCAGGACTTCCCTTGGAACACCCAAATGATGGGAGAGTCATTTAGGCAAGGAGGCCACTGTGCTTTTCTTCCATTTGCACAAGACAGACAATGCTGATAAGCTGGAGAGGCCTTGGCAAGCAATTCCAACTGCACTAAGTGAGCCTCAAATCCAGCCCCCTCTTGCTGGGTACAACACTCTGACAGAAATAACTAATTTGTTAATGTAAGTATCAGAATAGAAGCAGAAATCTAATAAAAGTAACTAATCCCATAATGGATTCCTTATTCCTGGCACTTTCTTATCTGGGATCAATTTGACAATTGCAGGTATTTGTCTGTTCTTCTTCCCCTCTCCAGAAGCCCCATTAACTTTGTAAATGAAGAACTATAATAAATACTAGACAAATAAACACTACATTAGCTTTTATAGGGGTTCCTTCATAATTGATCCTACTTTTGCTGGTTCACCCATCCAGCTGCTCCCTCCAGCCCTACAGACACAGCCTCAACAAAACTTCTTTTAGTTACCAATGGTTTCCAAGGACACTGCTGAAATACTTTGTTCTCTGCTGGTTCTTTTTTTTTTTAAATCTGTTTATAAAGCCTGAACCCCTCCCTGAAGGAGCTTGAAAGAGCAGAGATTTCAGGAGATGTGATCCCAAGTTTGGCACTCTGTGAGCACAGAAATTGTTCAGCAACAAGTCAAGCCCAGTTCTCTCAAGCTCCAGTCAGACATGAGATAAGACACTGCACAGATCTGGGCAGCTTTTCCCTTTCCTGATTCCAACAATATGATTTTGCAAGGTCATCTAAGGACAGACACAGCCAGACACAGCCCATGGCTTCCTTTTCCAACAGATACTTGGGTATCTCCTCCTGTTTTCATATGGATAAACCCCTCTCCCCCTCATTCTGCAGGTGCAGTGTCCACACAGGAAATCTGGGAAAAGCCAGCTTTGGAAATGTGCTCTAAGGACTTAACTTCCAGTTCAGATTTAATGCCACAAACTAGAGGCATAAAATATGCACATTTAACCCTAAATTGCAGCAAAATAATGTTCTGGCTCTTAGGAGATATTAATAGCTCTGAAAAATCTGTCATTTTTCTCCCATCCTCTCCCCCAGTGGACCACAAAATGTCATGACAGCATCTTTAAGAAAAGCAACAAAAAATGGCCATTCAGGGGGTCCCCAGAACTTGCCTTGTCCGGGTATTTCTGCAGGAGCTCCCGGACCTTGGCTGTGTTGTTGAGGGCTGCACAAATGACCAGGCACCCAGCATGCTCTGACTCTGTCTTCTGGGACAGCAGCTTCTCCAGAACAGTCACCAAAGTACCTGAATGAGGGACAGAAAGGACCTGTAACTGCACAATTTTGGGAGAGGACAGAGGTGTTACAGTTCTCCACACAGAGCAAAGTCAAAAAAGTCTGGGCTTGTATCAAGTCATCCCTGAAGCCTTTCTTGAGCAAACAGTTTAAGATCCATCTACAAAGCAAAACAGAAAAAAAAATCTGGCAAGTCTGTCCTCTCTCCCACATGATCCTGACATCTAAAGGAAACAAGTATGGTGAGGCCACCAAAAAAAATTCATGAGCAGATGTGCAGAACAGACAAAAAACCCCTCTCCACATCACGTGACCCCCCAAATTCAGTCTCAGGCTGGATTGGGCAAAATAATTGTGGATTTCACAACACTTCCCCACACGGTCCTGGGACTATTTCACAAGCCCTCAACAATTAATATCCTAATACAGGAGACAGGATGGGCCAGGAAACTGAGACAGAACGAGGCGAATACTGAACCTCGGGCAGGGTTGTGGTCAGCACTTCAGAGGTCTAAATTCTGTATTTTCCTGTCAAGGCCAGCTTTGCTTGCCCAGTAAGGCACAGCTGGGTTTTATCCTATATATTTCTTTATTAAGCCCAGCTTTGCTTGCCCAGTAAGGCACAGCTGGGTCTGGGAGCTCTGTCCAGGGAAGAACAGCCGGAATTTAACACCGCCCAAAGAGCTGCAGCAAAGAGTCCCCCGTCCCTGAAGGGTCAGACATCTCTCTCACTCTTTGACTCCTTTGCACTCTCGGTGGTCATGAGGTTTGCCTCCTCCTCCCTCTGGTAGGCTGTCAGGCAGGCAGGGTTGAAGGTCCAGGACTGGCCTCCCACCGACACGCGCAGATCTCCGTCCCCGTACACCTTGATCACCTTCCCGATGTGCCCCAGGGTCTGCAAGGAAACAGAACGTGGTTCCCCAAAGGTCTCAGCCCCAAAGCAACGTTTCAAAGAGGGTTTCCCAAGCTACAGCCCTGCTGTGTGAAGAGGAGCACTGGACAGTGACACATTCACAGGGCACCCAGAGGGTTCCAACCACTCTGACACAGAAGGGTTTCCCAGACACCTCATAAATGTCTGGGGAAGAAGGCGATGGAACAACAAAATGTGGTCTGAAGAACACAGAGGACTGATCAAAGTGGGACTAGGAAAGGTTTCCTCTGGGTGTTTAATTAACCTGCATTCCACTTTTTAGCCACACTGGTCTGATCAGACCAGTCCTCCACCTGGACACTTCCCTGCCTCGTTCCAGAGAATTAGGGAGGGCGTAAGAGGACTTGTTTACTTTGGTCAGTGAAACCTCTTATCTGGGCTGGTGGCAGCCAAACCCTCGGTCACATTTCCCCTTTCCCTGTTTGCTTTGGGTGCTGCAACACGACTGTGTCACCAAGAGCCAACAGCAGGAGGGAACGGGGACTTTGCAGGGCCCCAGCAAGGTCTGAGCACTCACTGACCAGCAGGAGTGTCTGGGGGGGACAATGCAAGCCCACCACTGTCACTGATTGCTCGGGGACACTCCTGGTTTGCACTCACAGGGGCCATCTCGTCCGTCCACTCCCCGTGGCCAGGCTGGAAGCGCTTCACTGTCTCCATGTCATCGATCACCCGCACCACGTCACCCACCCAGAACGTGTTGAGCTACGGGGAAAATGAAGTCATCAGCTTTTGGGGGATGAAACAACCAAAAAAAACACCCCAAACAACCCCAGAAACCCAACCAAACACGACACCAGTTAACTCAGAAAACAAGGCATTACAAAGCATTAGCACAACTGCCCAGAAAGCTGTAATCAAAACTGCCAAAGAAACACAGTCCAAGGGCTGGGGTAACTCCCTTTTAAGCCAAGTGCACATTTAAGTAGGGAAATAATTTGCAACAGGCAGTCTTCTAACTTTTTGTTCTTCTTCAAGTCATTTATAATTAATGCCAGTGTAAAAGCACGGGGCTTTCCTGGGTCCATCTCCTCACCACACCTGACCTGGCACCGGAGATTTTAATTCACTTTAATAAGGAAGCTAAATCTGTTTTTTTTATTTAAAACAGAAAAAGGAAACCAGAGTTTATCTGTTCTGGTAATATGCCAGATGCTCCCTCTGCTCACTGAGCTAAGAAGGGAGCACTGTCAAAACACACTTTTCAAAGCAGACTGGTTCTGTGCAAAAAACAGTCTGACACTGCATTTTCCCTTGATTTTGGAGTTTTTAGCATTGTGATCTTGTTCAAGGTCTTTGAGAATTTTGTGGTCTTCCAGCAGCTTCTTCTATATCTAATTATCCCTGTTTCTAATCATCCACATTTCAAACCTCTGGGGAAGGCCAGAGCTATGAGCTTCAGAAAGGCAGACACAGAATTAGAAGAGCTGGATTAAAGACTCAGGGCACCCAGAAGAATCAAAGAGAAGTGAGACAAAGGTGCAAAAAGGAGACACAAGAACAAGGAAGAAAACAAAATCAAATGGAAGAAAACGAAAACAAATGGAAGAAAAACAAAATCAGATGGAAGAAAACGAAATCAGATGGAAGAAAACGAAATCAGATGGAAGAAAACGAAATCAAATGGAAGAAAACGAAATCAAATGGAAGAAAACGAAATCAAATGGAAGAAAACAAAATCAAATGGCAATTATGTGGAAAAAGGTTGAAAGGTAGCTGCAAAAGGATGAGTTACTGTAGGTAAACTGTCCTATCAAAGAAGCTGGAATTAAGAAATGGAATTTACCTGAAGAAATTACATTTGAAATGCAGAAGTTCATCAAACTGGCCAGCCCAGCAGCCCAACTCCCACTGCCTGCAACCATCTGCCTGAGCCCTGCTGGGCTGCAGGGAGTTCTGCCCAGAACCACCGTGTTTGGCACAGCAGGGCATTCCTTCAGCACTTGCTTGTGCCCCAGCATGTCCTGGCACAGCAGGTTAAAGGACAGCTCTCCCCTGCAGCATCCCCAGCTCTGGGGAGCCCAGCACGTACCTTGGTCAGGGCTCCAGGATGGAAAGTCCAGCGGGTTTCGCTGTTGAACTGGACCCTCACGTCCCCTCTGTCCGTGATCCTGTGCACAGTCCCTGTCTGGCCAATGAACTTTTGATAGGGAGGAAAAAAAAAAAAAGCAGGGGAAAGCCCCTAAATAAATCACATTGCTTAACAGTGGGGAAAGCAGGCAGAGGTGTTTAAATGACCCAGCATTTCCAATCCACAGACTAACAGTGCTCCCAAAGCTGCTCCACGTGAGATGCAGCCATTGTTTGTCTACAAAAGCAGGGAAAGGCTCCTTAAGAGGCTCCTTTAAAGTAGCAGCATGTCGGGGGAGGAGGGTGGTAGGAATATAAAGCGCAAAAAATCCTGGGAAAATGAAGCAGGAATTGTCCTCTTTCTGAATGACAAAGGTGGGCAGAGATTACAAGAGTTGCTCTGCATTATAAGGCCAGCAAAGCACACTCTGAGAGGGGGAAAAAAGGGGCACAGTAAAGGAGACAAAATTAAGGATAGTTGTGTAGTGCAGTGTTCTGGAATTGTGGGTTCTGGCAGGTCCTGAGCAGCTCAGAGTTTAGAAGGAGGCAAAAAGCACCGATTTCTGAAATGACAGGAAGTTACTGTTTAACATCTCCTAAAAACCTCTGTTAATATTCCTCTCTACACCTGCATCCACCAACAACAGGAATTCGGGAGCACAGAGGTTTTAACGACCAACAGACACCGGGAGCCAGGCAGCAACACTCCAAAACTACAGCTTTGGGGAATGAAGCCTTAGCTGGAATAAAAAAATTCCTGGCTCTGCTGGCAGCCTTCTGAAAGTTCCTGCCAGAAGATGCCAAGTCCCTGCCTGCCAGGCTGGAAAAAAAAAACAAAACCAAAAAGGAAGCTGATGCTCAGTTAACAGATTTCCACATTGAAGCTGAAATGACATGGCTTGTCTCGACATTTCAAAGTCTGGTTTCAAAAAGTCTGCTCACCTACAGGGCAGGTGGGGCCAGGATGCACATATAAAGTGTCTTTTGTAATTTTATAGCACTGCTTCATGCTGTTCTACAGTAATAGGTGTCACTTCTATCTTTACTTCCTCTACTATCTGGGTTTTTTTAGACAACAGGTGACAGCAGAGTGAGAGCTCTTCAATCTAAAGACAAGACACCAGGCTAAGCTCCAAGAATATCATATGGGCTGAGAAATTTTAGCCCTGGCCAGGGATAGAGCCCACTGTTGACAAAACACATAACTTTCATTAGCAGTAATGCACAGCATAAAAGAAGCCAAGCAAGGAATGGATCCAGAACCCCAAAGAAAAGGTCCATGGCTCATTTAAAAAACAAACCAGCCATTATTTTTTCGCTTCCAGGACTTGTGAGCAACTCTTGTGCAGGGCTCCACAAGTCAACTGCCACATAAATCTGAGCCTTAAAATAAATCTGACTCCAGTGTCCTACCACTGAAAAAAAAAAAAAAAATCTGTATTTGGGATTCAGTTAACTCAACGTAAATGCAGGAGGTACCACGTCACACAAAGATGTTCTGGTAACTTCCTAAGCAGGGCCTGCTTGTGCAGTCTGAGACAGTGACTGATACCTTACCCAGAGGAGTAACAGCCTCCTACCTCAGCCATTTTGGGGTTCCAGCCTCCATGGCCCTCCTGCATCTCCCTCAGGATGTCGATGTCCAGCAGGCACTTCACCTTGTCCCCGTGCTGGAACGGGTGTCTGTCTGTGCTCTCCTTCCTCTGCAGCTCAGCTGGTTTTCCTGAGGAGAACAACACCCCCCCCAGCCACGCAGGATGCAATAACACACTTTGTGCCTTGCTGGCTCCTTGGGGCTGCAAATTAACAGGAACTGGGGTGTGCCCTACACACTACACAGAGAAATCAAGAGGATTTAGGCTCTCATTCTATGAATCAAACATGAGGCAGCTCTAACAAGACACGTTCTGCCCCTTCCCAGAGCGGGGAATGCCTTTGAAGGACGCCTCTCGTGTCAGGGCAGACATCAGGAGCTGTTCTTAGCACTGCACTCACCCACAACTGCTGTTCAGCAGACACACCCACCCAGCGCCCAAAATAAGTTTCTCTTCCACAGGCAGCCACATAACTGCCTTCCCCTCCTACCCTTCCCGTGCAGAGAGAGGCTGTGCCACTGGAATAAACTCCCCGTCCAACCCTTCCCTTCCCTCGAGCATCCCATTCCCTCAGCCGAGCTGCTCAGGGAGAGGAAAGAACGAGAAAGGCCTGATCCTGCTGCTGCAAACACAGGAACAGAGCCCTCTGTTTTCTTCCAGGGGAGCAAAAGGTGGACCCTGCACCTCATTAAAACAAGCACAACTAAATTACATATTGGTAAAAAAAAAAAAAAAAAAAGGCTGCAAGTCCAAAAGCACAAATAGTTTCCTTGGTTTTGTTAGAGTTAAAAGTGAATTGCAGCAAGTTGCCAATATAGATATCACCCTTTCCCATCCCTTTTTCTAATCTCTCTGCTGGGCAAGTGTTTGGCAGCAACATTCTCAGAAACCTCCCTTTGGTCACGTTCCCCTCAACACACGTTTGGGCCCACCAGCGCAAGGATATTTGCTGTGTAAAAGCGTGGTGAACACCAGCTGACCCACTGCTTGCCCGAAGAATTAGAAACTCTGGGTTAGCAGAACCAACACTGGGTGGAAGTCTCTGTAACAGAGCAGGAGTTTCCTGCATTTCCAGCTGGAATTGCCTCGGCAGAAGATCCCTCTCTGGGTACGCAGCTGTGGGCACAGGGTGGTTTTACCACAGACTCAGCACTATTTCATTAACCACTCTGAAGTCAAGCAGTGTGTTCACACACAAGCCACCCTCTCCTAAATGGCACACACATTATGCAGGAACTCCACGAAACCACCTGCTGCTTTTCTGCCTTCCAAGCAAAATGTGGCTTTAGCGTCGTCACCCAACAGCGGCGCGCACCCGAACTTCTCAGCAGGCCACTCACCCAATTTTGGGAGATGCTCCTTGTAGTAGAAGCCCCCAGAAGCCTCCACAGTGCATTTCAGGTCCACTTTGCCCTTGTGCCCCACCCTGTAGACGTTTGTGGTGCCATCAGCCCAGGTGACGCTGGCCACGCTGCGCCCGGTCTCCACATCCCAGCCCCGGATATCCACCACCCGGCCGGTTTTACCTTCGCCACCTGAGGGGGAAAATGGGAAAAAATCAGGACAGTTAAATCATGACACGACTCAGTTTGGCCAACCAGGAGCGCGTTAAACTCGCTGCAAGCCAGCCAGCCAGCCATCTACTTTGGAACAGAGATGTGGAAAAAGCTGAATTCTGGGTAGAGTTCCTCCTGGTGTGCAGGGAACACACAGTGTGGTGGCACCACACTGTGGCAGGACAAAAAACCAGTGCTGTAAAACCCACCCAAGAGCTTTCATTTCTCCCCAACGCCAGCCAGGTGCAAGAGCGTCAAATAAAAGTTTGTTCTGGTACTTCTCTTCACCTGTCCCCAAGCAAGGAGTAGTACACTGGAAAAACCCAGAACAGGAGGAGATGTGTGTGGAGATAAAGCTGGCTGGGCACATGGGACATGTTCTCATCCAAGAGACAACAGTCTATGAACATAAAGGCAGTCAGAGCTTGCAGATTCCCAACCCAACTCTGCTGCCAAGTCACTCGGGCGAGTCCCAAACAGGGACACCAACATCTGCCTGTCTGAGCGGACAAAGAGCTTCTAATTGCCTGCAAAGTCTTGAAATTTAACAGCTTAAAGGAGTTTAATTCCTCATCTAACTGCACATCTGACTAAAAAGCACAATACAAACCAGTGGGCTTTAGTGCCAGTTCTGTCAATGATCAGAGGACCAAACGGCTGTGGGTGGGGGGCAGCTCCCCCAAAACCAAGGCAGTGCTCATCAGAGACCACCTGAGGGGCTGGATTTAGGGTTCTTCCCACTGGTCTTGCTGGTGTAACTGGTTTCAGGTCACCACCACCGCAAGCAACACGAGTCTCAGACATGTAAATGTCCATCTGATCTCAACAGGATGGATAAGCTGTATTGAGCATAAGCTGCTTTTGCTCTCAGACCCTGCAAGTATCCACGTCCTCCACTGAACCCAGAGCTGCAATAAATGGCAGAGTCAACTTTGGAAACCTTTGAACTTCTGACTTAATTCTTAAGGGACAAAAGGAGCTGTAAACATTACAGTGTGAACAGGGCTCTGGAATAGGAAGGGACAGTACAGCTCCCTTAAGCCTGCAGCGCTGACAGAAACTGCTATCAGTGAATTAAGTACAGTCATTACACCCAAGAACAGCTCTAAAAAAGGCATTTTTGTCCCTCTGCATTTTCAGCCTGAAGTTACAAATCCTACTGAAAGCAGTAACCACAGCAAATAGTTCATTAATGTTCCATGTGAAACCATCCTTGCAGAGCATTTCTCACTGTCCTTAAAAGTATCCAAATAAGGATATTCCACAGAGCTCCAGAGCAGAAAGGAGTACTGTACTCAAAGTCAGGCAACCCTTATTCCCCCTGTAAATGAGAGCTTTTTTGGGAAAAGGTGGGGCTTTGTTTATCACTGTGTACGTTTACAGCTTTAGACAAGAACTTGCAGGTTGTTTCCCGGGAGTTTTCACATCTGTGAAACAGGAGCAGCAAAACTTCCCTCCCACACCCTCAGCGAATGCATATGGTTTATGTCACAGAAATGTGACAAAAAACCAATACAAGAAAACAAGGAATATTTAACACTCTAAACAACAGCAACTGCATCCTCCAAGCAGCTCCCCAGAAGCTGCTGCTCATAGCAGGCACTTTCAACCGGCCATTTGCCAGAAAGAAAAAATAAAATTTGATATCATTTATATTTAAAAAAAAAAAAAAAAATCAAAAATCAGATGGTGTTTTACAGGACATCCCAAAAGCAGCTTACCATCCTGGTTCCCCCACTCCCAGTCGGGGCCACGGACCACTTTAGCCCCTTGGAAAGTCCCTTTTAGGGTGATGCGAGTCAAATTCTGCCGAGGGCTCACCAGGACTCTGGAAAAAAACAAAACAAGAGAAAACAATTGGATTTATTGTTCTTACGGACACCGTACAAAGCTCTGACCCAACTGAGGTCGGTAACAGGAGGACTGTCCCTCATTTTATGCTTTCTGGACGTTACTGGGGTGCCCAAAGCATTAATGTTTTGGGCAGGCTCTGAGCTCAGCACATCCCACACCCTGAACTGCCCGGCACAGCTCACCTGCTGCAAAGCAGAGCAGCTCAGACCAGCAGTGCAGTGGATCCCCCAGCCCTTTCCACACTCCACACATCCTGACCCCACACCCCGAGCCAGCTCGAGGAGAAAGGGAAGGTACCTACGTGATGGTGAACAGGGGGTCTGATGTCCTGTTAAAGCAGCTTCCAATTCCCATAATGTCCCAGCAGCTTCCCTGCTGGCTCTGCGTGTGCTGTGCCCGCTCTGCTCCCCAGCAGAAAGCCTTCTCATGAGTTACCCAGCCACCAAAATCCTCAGGGAGCCGTTTGGGCTGCTCACCCGGGGTACAATCCACTTTTCGAGGTGACTGCCAAGGTGCCCCAATCCATACCCCCTGGAGCCTGACAGGCTCTTGGCAACTCCCAGCCCAGACAGAGCAAAGCAAGTTCAGCAGCTGTTCCACAGGGCAAGGGGAGGGGAGGCTTACTGGGGGTAGGGCTGACCTCAGAACACTGCATTTATTTTCCATCTAATACCTACAGAGGGAAGGTGGAGACTCAGAAGGATAAAAAGCTTACGCCTCAACTTAACTGTTTACTTATCCACCACGTGCTTAAGTCTTTTACCTTTCTTAACCTGCTGACACGTCTCCCTACCTGTGGTTTACAACCTAAAGTGCTTCAAAAGTGGGAGAGATTATTTACACGGGCTCTTATAATCGTGGAATGTTCATTGTCCAGACTGCAGCTCAACGGGAGGAAGACTCTTTATTTGGATGGTTGGGACTTTGCCTGGTTTAAGCACCAGCAAGGCTGGACGTTGTTATGAAAGAAGATAATGAGAGTGGGACAGGGAAAAGCTCAGCTAAAAAGAGACACTGCTCAGCATTCATTTTATTGCTCTGTGTCAGGCACCAGAGACTGGCTTCGAAAACCAGCACGGATTTGGGCACTGAGTCTGAAACAGCTCAGCTACAGCACTGTTGTCACTGCATATTGTTGAATGTTTTTCTAACAATTCATCAAAGATCTCTCAGTCAAGCCCTGACTGAGTGATAAAAATACACTTCTCTCCTGCAAACCCTCTCAAGGGAGCCTTCAATGCAAAGATCCTTAGTGATAGTAAAATGAAGCACCGAGCTGAGCTTAAGCAAGATGTTTAAAGAGCAAAACAAGCACGACTCATTCTATTCCTAGCAGAAGTTCCCTTTTTGTGTAGTCACATAACAGCAGTCATTTCCCATCTCAACAGCTCTCACATTAACCAGCCACTTTCAGTGAAATTCGTGGCTGGGGACCAAGAAAACAAAGCCAGCCACTTCAGAAAGGAAGAAAAACGTAAGAAACTTCCACCTCTTGCTGGAGACAACCCACCAGAAAACCCTCTTTCCTTCCTCAGCCTCCCAAAAACAATGACCCTGCCTGAACCACCCTGCTGACCAGCACCCAGGAGCGATGCAAGAGCCTCATGTCCTGAGCAAATATGTCTTAGGTTTTAATCTAATTCACCATATTTTGCTCCAAACACTGGGTAACAACCGAAGTTATTCGTGTGATGCTAAAATACCCTTGGGAGAAATTTAATCACCGTGATACTGCCTTTAATAACAGCGTTAATTATGACAGCCGAAATCTGCAGCCATTTCTGCCCTACAAATTCCAACGGTATTAAATTACTGTGGAGCCCAGAAAACACTTGGGAGCATGCACTGTACAGAATGAAGTTATGTCTCTCTCCAGCAGGCTGGGAACCACTCCCTGGGGATATTCTGCCCCTGCTCAAGTTTCACTGAGCTTTCCACATCCCTGGGAGCTCTCTGCTCCACACAGCTCCAAACAGCAGCATCACCCTTGGCTCTGGAAAGATGTGAGACCCAAATTAACGGACCTGGAGAAGTTTAAACAGACTGCTTTTAATTTGCAGCAATGACCTGAGACCCTGCAGAAGTCAGAGACCCTTCACACCAGGCACAGTCGAAGGATTTTGCGAGATAAGAGATTTTTTCCACTGCAGGAAGTTCTTATCCCAAAAAACACAAGTACAGTGCATGGAAAGTAGAAGGGATGGACACCCTGAAAGGGCAGCAGGCCATAAATATCATGGTCATCTCTTCAGAAAGACACAGCTGTAAATGAGACTTTCAGCTCATGGTAGATACAAACCCACAGCAGATACGAAACCCACACGGGATGCACAAAGATCTGCACAGGGTAACGCAAGAAAAGGATCCCAAAGACCTTGCAGAAACCACAGACAAAAACTGACCTCGATGCAAGAAATTCTAGATTCTCTAATCCCACCCCCTAGCAAAGCTTTTCCTGAAGCACTTCCAGCAGAGGATAAAGCCAGGCAATTCTGACAGATGGCAGGGGCTGCTGGTTGCTCAAGCATGAACCAGACTAAGACAAGGGCGATGGTGAGGGATCAGGAGCACGGAAACCTATTTCAGGAACTGTCTTTACCAAGATTTTTCCCTTTTCAACCCTGTCCTTCCTTGACAAGGCACAGCTCTTCACAGAAGCAAAGCTGTATCCTTCTAACTCAGGGGCTGGGCTGGGTTAAAAGCTCAGTCTTTTTTGGGTGACCTCCAAAGCCCAGATCAGACTCAAGGTTTCAGACCGAGGCTCTTAAATGTGAACAGGCTGAGGATGTTTTACTGAAGGTTCCTCTTGCTTACAGTTTGGATCACTGGATTCCAGACAAGATAAAGATAAAGTAGGCCATTAAAATGCAAGCCCTGCTCTGCAAATCAAACAGAATATTCCAAAACAAACAAAAGGGAAGCCCTAATGAGGGGATAGGCAATGGTGTTCTGCAGTGCACGTGGGGTTTTTTAAAGAGGCGCAGTTTGGTATTTTATCTGGCAAATTATGGTGGTTTTTTTAAAGTAAAATTACATTAATTCATTGCTAGAACAAATTAACAAGTAATTTGACATCAAGAAATCAATTTTTTTTTTACGGGTTAGGAAACAAACACATCATCACACAAGAGTCAGGTTTGATTCAACAGCCACCAAAATTTCCGAGACCAACAGCTTGAACTGCCACTGCCCAAATAACACATGTTGAAGGGGTTACTATGTAAATAAACCTGCACCCCCTTTATTGCCCAGTAATCAAACACCCTGCAGTTGTCCCTCAGCTGCTGGATTAGTCCAGGCTCACAGTCCCAGCAGCCCCAGATGGAAGGTCGGATGATTAAAGCTGCCTTGAATGGGTCTGCACTGCACAGGCAAACCCAAACCAGAGCATGCACTTGTTCCTGTATCTGATTTCCAAATGCAGCTGGTAACCAGACTAGACAGAGCTGGTTTAAGAATCAGGGCTGAAAATAACTGCACTCTCTGTTTTGACTACAGGATAAAACACAATGTGAGAAAATACTTGTAATTTCTTATGCTTGATTACACAGAATATTTCCCTGGGTGGTTTGCTGGCTCCTCCAACCCCATTGTTGGCCAGGGAAGAAAACAGGACTTGTGAAAAATTGTTGTGATTTATTGGTGGGTGAAGCCTAGAACATAGCCTGGGTAAAACATCCCCTGCCGAAATTCAGCTCAGCCCCATCCCTGAGCAGGTGATCCCTGCAAAATTCCAGTGCTGCCTCTGCACTGGGATATAATAACACTAATATTTTGCATGAGGGGTAGATTATCTCAGACTTGATAATTTGCAGAATCATCAGAGCATGCCTGACTGTGGCAGCCCTAAAATAAACTTGATGAGTTTTGCATTGCTGCCCTGCTTCCAGACACTGATTTATCTTCCAATTACCAAGCACGTATTCAGCAAATGGATACACAGCTCTGAAAAAAAGCTCAGTAAAACTGAGCTGTTCATCCTTGTAAGCCAAGGATGAGAGCCTCTCCCACAACAGCCACAAAACTCAGACCAACAAAATATAAAAACAATTGGAAGAGGTCAGGAAGAGATTACCTCTAACAGCAAAAATAATAAAAAAAACACAAACCAGCAGCACTTCCTGCCACCAGAGGTTCAAACTCAGGTCATTCTGAGACCTGAAATAGCCTTCAGGTAAAGGAGTCTTCAAAGCCTCTTTAGAAAACTGATTGGGAACCCTCTGCAGCATCTGTCTGGGGTTAAATCCCCCTAAATCCCAGGATTAGTGACCTGCTACGAGGAGCAACGTGTTGGCCTTGAGGGACTGGAAACTCCCAGCTCCTCATCTCTGCTTCAAGAAAGAGCTGATGTGACAGCTCCATCCCACAGTCCAACATCTGATCTCACCAGTGGCAACCCAAGGACTGTGTAAGCAACCCCAACTTCCTTATTCAAGTTCAAGATTATGGGATGCTGTCAAACTTGTTGGGATGCCTCTCCATCCACTCCCCTTCATCTTCCCGACTAATTAACACTCCAGAGGGCTCATCACAGCGCTTTGCCTGGGTCCTGAGAGCAACACGCTCCTGAGGCTCCTTGTGAAGAAGCAAAGGATCCCCATTCCCTGCCAGAGGAAGGAGGAGGGACAATCCTGGGTCTCTAAAGGAGACTCACCCCGTGTTTCACAGCCCCTCGACAACAAAACCCAAACCCACCCAGCATTTACCGTGTCTTTTTAAATACACAGATTTCTGGGGGCCTTAGGGAACTGCCAAAGGTTTTATCTTCTACTTTATTTAGCCAAAAAAAAAAAAAAAAAAAAAAAGCCAGCTGAGTGCTCTAAGCAACAGTGCAGTGAGTCATGAGCCGTGCAATTCCTGTTCTTCGAAAAAAGGACGCTGCACTGCCTGAGGCAGCTTCTGCACAGCCCAGACCTCCCTTATTCCAAAAGAAATCCTTTCTGTGGCATTGTTCAGAGGTGAGCCAGGCCCTCCTTTGTTTCACTCAGCTTTATTTCTTATCTCAGGACATTCAATTCTTGATGCAGAGCAACCTCCAGAACACCCGGAGCAGCAAATCACGGGATCCCATCTGCGTTAAAGCAGAGAAAGATGTTCCTGCTTCTTCCTGCTCCTGCACTGAAAGGGGAATTCAATCTGCCAGCTCCCCTGTACAAAAGCTCCTGCATAAAACACACATTGCATTGTGCCATCCAGCTCAGCCAAATGCCTGGAACAAAACCCACTTCTGCCCCGTTACTTCCAAAAGCTGAGCGACTCCTTAGAGCCACAATATGTACTCTTCGTTCACCCTCAAAATTGCAGCTTTCCACAGCTGGAAGCTTCTTCCTTGAGGATTTCTAATTCCTCTCCATCCCTAAGCTCAGCTAGAACCATGCAGAACAGCAGGAAAGGTGTTTTATTATCCAATTACAACTATTGCTGCTTTACCCTTACCCCTTACTGAGGCTTCCAGAAGCCACTGCCACGTCTGACAGGCTCATGCTGTGCCCCTGAAGTCACACACACACACACCTCCCTTTTCCTTTTTTCCTTTTTTCTTCTTAGCTGCTTGGTATTAAGATCACTGCTCCTGCTAACACACAGTGATGTAAATCAGAACAGTGCTACTTGAACAAAAATTGGGTATCACACTCTGGCCTATATCTGCACTTCTTTTTATCAAATAAAGTTAATTTATATCACGTCTTCTCCGACCACTCAATGAGCCACACTCACGGAAAAGAAAAAAAAAAAAAAAAAAAACCATAAAGTAATTTAGGAAAGAAACAAACCAAACCCACTCAAAACCCATCAAAGCACCATCAGACTTTTACTACAATGGGCATCTACCTCCCAAGAGCCCTCCAGTGCTTCCAGCACATTCCAGAGCAGTGCTGCAGTGCTCTGGGAAAGTCAAACAACTCACACAGGGCAGCCCTGGGTCTGGCAGCTTTACTGGCCACGCTCCAAACTCTCTTTTCTCCCTGACAGCAACCACAAGACCGCCCAGTTCCAGCAGTAGGGCCTGGGCACGGGCTGGGGACAAACCTTGAAAGGAAAGCTGCCCTTGGTACATCTTTTCCCATTCAGGTTCCTCAGCAAAGCAAATGAGCCCAGCAGAGGAGAAACCCTGGGGAAGAACTGCCTGGAATTCTGCCTTTTCATCGGGGTGTTCCCAAGGGAATTCAGCTCTGCAGGGCTGGGAGATCCCATGCCCAGGGAAGAAAATTTGGGCTCCTCTGCAGCCTCTTACAGCAATTGCTGCCTACCTTTTATTTTCTCTTTAAATGGGAGTAGGATTATGTACCTTAAGCTCAAAGAAAAGACACAGTCAGGCATCCCTGAGTAACTACTTGGAGATAATTATAATATTAATAGAAAGAGAAAAAAACCCCACATGCCTATTTTTATATCTAATGTATTTTTACATATACATAAAATCCTGGAGCTCATTTCACAGTAGGATCTGCCTGGCCTGTCATATTAACACAAGCTCCAGAAACATCCTAATCTGGTGGATAAAACACAAGCCCCAGAGCTCAGAGGGGAGACTCTCTGGACAAACATCCATCCATCCCTTGGCTCGCACTCAGAATTCCGGCTCGACCACACGGGCCCAACTCTGGTAATTAACTCCAAGGAGAGTTTCCCATCAGGTAGGAAAAAAAAAAAAAAAAGGAAAATCAATGCCAGAGACAAGCTGATTGCTCAGGACTTCTCCTGAAGGCAAGAGGATTAAAAGGTTCGTCTTCGTGCCTGCCTTAGGAAGTGCAAATAAAACCGCCAGGGAGATTATTTTTGGGTTCTTCCTCGGGGCCAGGAGAAGGATCAGGAAGGGGCACCAAATTACAGATGCTGGAACAGAGGCAACAGTGCAAGAGCAAAGGAGAAGTTGTTGCTCTCTAGAGAACAGTTTAGACCCGGCGGTTTGGGAGGGCAGGATTCCTGTCAGCCTCCACTCACTTATCTGAGAACAGCAAAACATGTCTAAAATTATTTAACTTGGGGGGGAGGAGGAAAAGTAAAACCAGAGCAGACAAACATTTTTAATTTTCACCTTAATCAATATTCCCAGAAAAATTCTTATCTCTATTTGCTGTGTTTTTCTCAAGCAGCTTCATAAAAGTGCCCAACCCAGCCTCACACTGCTGTGCAGAACAGAGGCCCCAAAACCTTTTTGATCACACAAGCCAAAGAGTAAAAACATTTTGAGCACTCCCCAACATACACTTATTTATATAAAAATGCATTTCTATAAAAATACAAATACATTTCTATATAAATATATAAAACATATACGTTTTTATATAAAATTAATTTGATATTAAAATAGATTTACATGTCAATGTGAAAATAAATATATATATTTGTATATAAACATTTCATTTTATATATCAATATAAATATGTTTTTATAGAAATATATTTTACGTTTATATAGAAATAAATTTCTTTATATATTTAAGTTGTACAGAAATACATTTCTTTCTATATATAAATTATATGGAAGTACCTTTCTATATATAAATTATACAGAAATACATTTATTTCTATATATAAATTACACAGAAATACATTTATTTCTATATAAACGATACAGACACGTACTAGTTAGGTGCTGTACATTATTCCTGCACTTTGGCAGGTGGTTTTGCACACCCCTGGGGGGGCCCAAACCCCATTTTGGGAGACCCCAAAGCCCCCCCCCCCCCCCGGCTGCCAGGACTCACGGCTGTGAATGTGCTGTCTCGTAGCGCTCGAAGGAGTGAGACAGGTCGTGTTTGTTGTTCATGTAGCACTGAGTGCACAGGTCGTAGTCAAAGCACATCTTGCACTTCCACCTCATCCCACGGATGCCGTGCTTCTTGCAGCAGTCGCAGATGATGTTGGGGTGACGGACACCTGGGAGAGCAAAGGGGCAAAGGAATGCGGGATTCACACGAAATCCAGAGAAACCGCCCCCCAGAACCACCTGGACAACGCTCTGGGGGACAGGGTGGGACTGCTGACTCCAGCCAAATTACATTTAAAAGATAAAACTCCAATCATTTATTAAGAACAGGGATCCCCACAGATGGGAACACTACACGAACTAAGGCAGGAGATGGGTTTGCCGAGGTCTGTGCCCCCTGTCCTTGCCATACTGATCAATCTGGGTGTTCCTATAGAGCAGGAGTTCCTAAGCCCCCTGTCCTTGCCATACTGATCAATCTGGGTGTTCCTATAGAGCAGGAGTCCCTAAGCCCCCGTCCTTGCCATACTGATCAGTCTGGGTGTTCCTATAGAGCAGGAGTCCCTAAGCCCCCTGTCCTTGCCATACTGATCAATCTGGGTGTTCCTATAGAGCAGGAGTTCCTAAGCCCCCCATCCTTGCCATACTGATCAATCTGGGTGTTGCCATAAAGTAGGAGTCCCTAAGCCCCCCCATCCCTGCCACCCTCACCGATCTGGGCGTTGTCATAGAGCAGGAGGTCGTAGGCTCCCTGGAAGCCCGTGCGGTAGTTAGTCCTGTTGCCCTGGTCCCACTGCACCACCACGGTCTTGTCGGGGGTGGTGGGGCTGCCGGCGCGGCCGATCTCCACCACGGTGCCCACGTTGCCCTCGCCGCTGTCCTGGCTGCCCCACTTCCAGTCCACGCCGCGCACCACCCGCATGCCCACCTGCATGCTGGCACAGGGCTCCGCATCCATGGGGCGCGCTCGGGGGGGGGTCCCTACAGCTCTGCCCCCCGGGGGGGTTTGCTCACAGCCAGGGGCAGCAGCATGGTCAGCACGCCTGCAACACAACAGGGGGGGGCACGAGGGGTCACGCCCAGCACGACACATCAACCCGCATCGACCCCCCCCAACCCAGAACGACCTGCTGCCTCCACGCATTCACCTCGCTCCACTGATGCTTCTAAAGAATCATCTAAATTGTTTATAAAACTACCTAAGTAATGTTTGCTTCAGAGAAACTGTTTAAAACAGTTATCTGCACTATCTGGGAAGAGTTTAAATGCTAGTTGCTTGAGTTAAATAATGTTTTTTAAAAAATAAGATCCGAGTAAACGTGCTTCATTAAAAAAAGGGATCCTCACAGCTTTAGCCCCAAGTGGGAATGATACACAAGCTAGCCAGACTTCCAAGGCACATAATCATCTGTGATAACATCCAAAAGCTTATTCCACAGCTCTGTGTATGAGGGAGGAGAACTGGGCAAGGAGTCTCCAGTACCAGCCCTTGACTCCAAACTCAGGAATAAGTGCAACAGCAACAACAACAAAAAAAACCAGTAAAGAGAGCTGAAATAAACGTCCAGGAAAGCACCAGCCCCGTGATTTTAGCAACAAAAAGTCAATACCCACCTATTTTTTAGGAAGACCCTTCATATGCATCTCATCACTTCACACTGCACCTTATCACTTAACACTGCAGTGGGGGAGTTTCACTTGCCCTCAGAGTTAGTTTTGGTTTTGGTTTGGAGACACAGGAAGTTTGAAAACTGCATCTGAAAGAAACGTTTGTCTGTTTTTCCTGCGTTTTTTTTTTTTAAAACATTGCCAATGTCAGGTAAATTTCAGTCTTTCCCTGCTATTTATCAGTGAGTAGGGACATGGAAGGGCTGATGCTTACCTGCAATAAGCAGAGCAGATTTTGTGCTGGCATCAGGAAAAGCCTGGGATAGCCTTCCCAACTGTTGCCATGGCAATGGGTAAATGAGGTGAATACCACACAGATGCATCACATCCTCGATTTTGAATTAAATCAGATGATCAAACCCTGGTTTCTCTCTTTACCACAATAACAAGACAGAGAAGAAGAGTGTGGCTTTCAACATCTAGGACCTGGGGAAATCTACTGTGGCATCCTTTAATCCCTGGGTCTCCCTCCACAACATCTGATATTGTCTCAAAATTTGAAAATCAAGACCCAACAGAACGCCAAGGGTCGAAAAAGGTGACAAACCGTCAGGGTGACAATCCTGGCCCAGCTCAGGGATGTGCTCAGACACAGCAACAGCAGCAGCTCTGGGCCCTGTGACGTGTTGTCAATGCCCCCACCCACCCAAAAAGCAACTGAAACCACCAAGGCCTAAAAATAACCCCTTCCTGCAGCCAAAGAGCCCCGACCGAGCGCGCGGGGGAGTCGTCTGATGCAAAATCACGTTCCTGGCGTGCAGAAAGAGGCCGATTCCCGCTCAGCTTTAGCACCTCTGCAGCTTCAGACCTTCCCTGCCACGCATCACTGTGACACCCAGACACCTGTCACACGGGAACAACATCAAACCCCGTGTCCCTGCGAACCCCACGTCGTCCCTCGTTCTCATCAGCACCAAAAAGACGCCTCGGGCGGCTCTTCCACCGACAGCTGTGGAGGTGGATGTAACACTGCTGAGCTGAAGGTGCACCAGTGTTTGCTGCCTTTATGAGAGCAGGAATCACCAAAGAATATCCTTTTTAGACAGCCTTGCAGGGCCCTAATGAGATCTGTGTGATCCCCTCTTCCTCCAGATCACAGAGGAGTAAAATGGACTATTTATTCCTTCGAACTAAAAGGCAGAACTGCTTTCTTTTGAAAGGAGTCTGAGAAAACAAATGGGGGCACCCAACAAAGCAGAGGTGCAAGAGGGACATAGTCCAGCTATTCCTACAGGCCTTTTTTCCTTAAAAACGTCACAGGCTTCCGAACTCCTGGCACTTCCAGGAAGGAAACGCCGGTTCCAGCCTTTACTCATCACAAAAGAACATTCCAGGCTGTGCCACAAACCCATAAAATTTAAGTCTCTGCAGCCTAAAGGAGGATAATCCCTTGCCACCTGGAAGCAGCAGGGCAGGCTGGCACGTGACAGATGGTGACCTGAACAGACCCACAGACAGGGCAAACCCACACTTCGTGCCCCTTCCCACCACTCCTGGATGCTGCTCTAGCTCAGGGCGCTCCTGGGATGCTGAATTTTGGTTAATGGGGTTGTCTGGGCTGCAAAGACCCCACCAACCCCCTTGCTGGCTGAGCCAAGGCCGCCTCTCTAATGTGAATATTCCATTTCCCACACAAGAATGCACCAAATGCATTCTGCATTCCCATCTGCTCTGCAGGGGAGATGCATAACAAGAGTAAAGGACTGTTCAAAACCTTTATGAGATGAATTACAGTGCTCTTGCAGGCTGAACCTTGCCAGAGCAGCATTATTTACTTCCTAAGTGGAAATGTTTCACTCACTGAAGCAAATACTCCTCCCCTGATGCTGTCTGGGTCATAATTATTCCCGGGAAGGATAGGTAGAGCTGCCAGAAATGATTCACAGAGAAAACAGCAGTTTCCCCGTGGGAATTTAAAGTAACTATGAACAAATATTCCATTATAAGGCGCAAGCAGAGCTCTGAATCCTGAGGTAACATTCTGACCTTGTCTACTGTGACACAGGAAAGAGTAGCCCAGGCATATCTGTGAGTCCATTCCCAGGAAATCCCACTAACACTTTACTGGAACAAAGGGAAAACACGTCAGCACTTTCGGCCCACACTTCAGTTGCAGTAATTGTGGCACATTTCTGCCAATGTTCAACTGCTCTGGAGGTAGAAGGTGCTCCAGGAACAGCCCAGTATCCATCTCACAGGAGGCAAAGGTTGCTGCTGCTCTGGATACAGAGCAAACAGAACCCAGGAGGGGTGTAAACAGTTGACAAAATCAGTGCATGCAACTCGGTGATCACGTTATTCCAACAGCAAGGCAAACAGAAGTAGTGTTTAAAACAACAACAACAACAACAACAACAAAAAAGCAGTGTTTTGCAGTTTGAATTGTCTCCACAGGTGAATTATTCCACCCTGCAGAGATCTGCCTATCCAGAGGATGCTTCCCTAGGCAATTGCAAATCCCACACTTTTCCAAAGGAGCAGCACAGGCTCGGACTTGGATGCTTCTCTCATTTCTGCACATCATTTCTGAACACACGTGGGGGTGGCTGCAGCAGAGCTCCTATTACAGGGTCTCTTCACAGCAGCCTCACTCCAACCTCCCCCACTAATACTTTTGTGTTCTTTAATAACAGCAAAACAACCAGGATCAAATAGCCCTCGGAGCCCAAGGCTCAAAGCTGCAAAGTTAATTACCAAAGTTAATATCCGTGCCAGAAGAGCTCAAATTCAGACTTCCCTCTCACTTTCCTTTCTCTCCAGCACAGCAAACACACACCTGCTCTCACTAACAGGGTGCAGTGCAATTGCTCTCAAGGACACACACAGCTCCCACAAATACAATCATTAATTAATGAGAACTGAGCAGAAAACCAGCAAAAACACACAGGAAACAATCCTTCTGGACCCACCACCATCCAAGCATTGCCTTGCACCTGCCAGGTGAGGCCAGAACTCCTCAGCCCTGAGCCAGGTGTGCTGCCCTGGGGGACTTCCAAGCCCAGAGAGACCCTCCCTGCCTCCCACCACACCTGAACCCTGGCATTACCATCTCCATTTTCCAGTAGTTCCCACGCTGGGGACTTTTGCCAAGCCCATGGCATTTTATTACCTCACCTCCAACTCACATCAGTTCAACACCCAGCTCTATCACTCCTAAATCTCTCTCCTTCTCTACTCTGACCCCCCCTCCAGCCCAGCAAAAGGATTTGCAGAACTGGCTGAAGTAAATAGTTTAATATTATTTACTAGACTGTTTACAAGAGCCTGGAGTGCCAGGACAAGGGGGAACAGCTTCGAACCGACAGAGAGGAGGTTTAGATGGGATACTGGGAAGAAATTCTTCCCTGTGAGGGTGCTGAGGACCTGGCATGGGTTGCCCAGAGAAGCTGTGGCTGCCCCATCCCTGGAGTGTCCAAGGGGCTTGGAAAGCACCTGGTCTAGTGGAAGGTGTCCTTGCCCATGGCAGGGGGTGGGACAGGATGAGCTTTAAAGGTCCCTTCCAACCCAAATCCTTCTGGGATTCTGTGATATTCCACTGCAGAGCCACAAGACCTCAGCGATCCTTTTCTTCCCTTTCCCATGTGCAGTCAGGAATTCTGTTTAGTCTAAATTTTGCAAAATGCCATCTCCGGCACAGGGAAGGGAGAGAAGAGCAGATGATGTTTTTGTGGCTTAAATATCAACAGCAGATAAACTAAGCCATTCTCCTGATAAATTAGTCTCAGCTGAAAAACAAAAACACCAAAAGAAAAAAAAAAATCAGAAATGGGGCAGCTGCCACCGGTAAAACCAATCAATCAGGGAAAAGCAAAAAAAAGCCTGTGAGGTTAAATGATTTCCATGCCCCAAGCCTCACCTGCTCCCGAAGTATATTTAACTGCATTACATAAACAGAATAAAGCAGGTGATTAATAGGCCTTTGCTCAGGGATTAATATCTTGTCATCTCAGCGTCAGCGTGGAGAGCAGGGACACATCCCAACATCCTCACACACGGGGACACAGGGGGAGGAAGTGCTAAAAATACCCAGCCAGGCACTCTGCTGGGAGTCCCACCGAGAGCATTTTATCTCTGCAATCAACACTTGTCCTTTTCAAATGCCAGCCCATTGATCTGTTTTGCCTACACCGGATTTCACATTCCATTTACACTGATTGTGTTCTAGCACCCGGGTTGTTATGGTGAGAGGGGAACGTTCCCTTCCCTTCCAAGCTGTAGCAGGGATGTTTCAGAGGTTATCATGCTGATTTACCAGCTACTCTTTCACCTTGTTAAAGGATGGAGGCCTAAAGGAAGCACCGGCAAATATTTTAATATTCAGGAGCAGTAATTTTGGGCAAACCTTTCTGAGAAGCTTGATCCTAGCATTCTGATT